TTGATTTCTTGACTTGGTGGGCTTGATTGATTATCAGTTTTGAGTCGAATGTGCTAACTGTGTATATCGGTTTAACTAGGCTTGACATTAGTATTTATATATTGATTTGATAATTTTATGTTAGAGATATTAGAGTTGTTTGTTTGTTTATAATCTTCTTAGCTGACTCCTCTGCCATCAACCAAGCTTGAGTGCTTATTTGAGAAGAACAGTCATGTCAAGAAAATCCTTATTTACGAAAGAACTTATCAATATGGAGTATTTACGAAAGAACTTATCAATATGGAGTATTTACGAAAGAACTTATCAATATGGAGTATTTACGAAAGAACTTATCAATATGAATGATTTGAGTGTAACTGAGCATTTGTTTTCAGTCAATCAAAAATATGAAAACTACTTTTGTGCCTAATGCCTTTTTTCCAAATTCGCTTTGTGATGGTCACTCATTTGAACTGATGTTTTGGCTTTAGATGCATTTGATGTTTTCGCTTTAGATAGATATATGAAGAAGCGCTTCTTCTTTTTTCAGTTTTCTCATCCTTTTTCTCCTTTTTCTTTCTTAACCATGTCTTCTTTTGATGTTTTGTAGGTGGTATTTTGCTGGTTCAAATCAAGTTGTTAGGGTCTTGCTTTTGGTTCTGTTAAGCAAGAGGTGAGTTTCTTGGTTATAATAAATTAGCAGAAATTAATTGTTTTCCGTTTTGTCTTAGCCAATGGCATCAATTCTCCATTTGTGTTGATCATTAAGCCATATATATATATATATATATATATTTTAATTTCTTAATAATGAATTATTGGTATACAAGTTTGATATCAAAGCATCCCCTGTAGATCACATAATATATGCATTAACGTTTTAGTAGGAACCCATGCAAATCAGCTAGATGATGCTTCATTATTATGCATCAAAGTTATTCAAATTAAACAACACATTATTAAAAAACATGATATTATAATCAATAATTGTATACTCTTTATTTCAAATGCCGCATCTAACTGTTTTTAAGTACACAGTGTAACATTTCCATTCCAATACAGTTAGTGAAAGAACTTTTTTTAATAAAAATAATTTTTTAAATTCATGGTGGAAATAACTTTAAACTTGGAAAAGATCACCAATTTTTAGCAATGAGGATGGAATTTTTGTTAAAAAGGTGGCCATACATATCAAAATACTATCAAAGATGTAGCACATGTGGCTCTAATGCTCTAATTAGGGATCACCAGGTTGTCCAAAATCTAGAATGTCTTTGGCTCATTAAACTAATTTACAAAAACAAATTCATCCTATTGGCTTAACTAATTATATAGGGTTTGGTCGATGTTTTGTTTTATGAAATTTGTTTTTTACTGAACATTTAACATTGCTCTACATTGCCTTGCATGCATATGGATTTTGAAACAAGTTGTGATGTGTTTATTCAGTTTTCTCTTTGTGGTATCGGTTACTTTTCAACCAATTAAGATGTGTTTCTCCTCTTAAGCAATTTGAAAAAAAACCAGTTTTCACTTCACATCATCATATTTTCATGTTTTAATTTGTTCAATATTCAGATTTTTTGTTGTTCTGTGTTGATTTGATCTAATTTTGTTTTTCTGTCTTCGTATTTTAGATAGCTGTTGTAATCCTACTTTTGTGTTGCTGTTTTTGGAAGTGCTTGATAGCTTCTCTGACTACAGGTTAGTATTTCATTCATTTTTTAAAAGACTATGCATAGTGGTTGTAGCTTATTGATTATCAAATATTATGGCATTTAAAAATTCTTATTTCTGTGGTTCTGTCAATATCACTGTGCATTTGCTTTGCTTAATTATAATTTAAGTGTAATTGATAATTTGAAAGTTTATTTATGCATGTTTTATTTCCTTTCCTGTTTTCAGTCTATTGCTTGGGTTTTTAAATTTTTGTACATAGCCAATGCTTTTACGCTTTCACCTTGAGGTTACAGCCCTTTTCAGATTTTAGAAAGAATTAGAGCACTGGCTTACAAACTAAAGATTCCTGCTTCAACCAAACTAAAGGCTATCTTTCATGTCTATCGCCTTAAAGAGAAATTGGATGCCCGGAGATGCAAAGGCAGACAAAATATAACAGAGGCCTTAGTGCACCAAGTAACTACCAGAAAAAACACTATGACGAACGTTTATTAAACCTGAGGTGGATTTCCAGAACTTGCCTTGGCGACAAGGTTACTTTAACAGAGAAACATTTTTCCGTACAGATTTTGCTCAAGCTAATTTTTTTGGTTTAATGAAAAGATTGTGCATATATAAAATGCTCAAGCTAATTTCTTCTCCGATTTTTCTGTTTTTTCTTCCTTTTTCTTCTTCTTTTTTTAAACCATGTTTTCTTTTGATATTTTGCAGGTGGTCTTTTGTTGCTTTGGATAGAGCCGTTTAGTTGGTGTTTTCAATTCTGTTAAGCAAGGGGTGAGTTTCTAGGCTGAAATTCCAATTAATTGTTTTAAGTTTTGTGAATAGAGCATAGAACTTAGCTAATGACATCAATTGACAATTGGTTAGTGTTAATTTGTTGTTGTAATGATAGGTTTAGATGATTACAATATCTGAATATGTTGGTAAATCCTTTTGAGTATTTTGGCAATTGGGTACTTGAGAACTCCTAGCATGGGGAGAGAGTGAGAATGCGTAATTGATTGGAGGGAAAAACATGGTGTCTTTCTCTTTGTGTGTATGTGGGTCAGTGGGGAATCAATCACTGGCCCTGTGGTCTGAAGCAGCGTTTATGAGACGCTGCCATTTTTCTGTTGCAAATTGCAATTGGTTGGTATTTAAAGTAGTGGAAAATTTTCAAAACATTTCAAAGTGGTCCTAACTCCGATTTTCTGTTGTTTTTTGGTTTTTGAATTTGTTTGTTTCTTTTGTTTTTGTGAAATTTTTTATTCAATACTCTCTCTCTCTCTCTGTGTGAAGGAAAGCAAAACTTGAAAAGTTATTATGATCAGTAGAGTAACAATAATATTTAGAAGTGAAGAATCACTTTATCTCTTAATTACTAGGACAACAAAACTTGAAAACGTTCTTTTAATCCAATAATATACTTACAAAGGTTAGAACTAAAGAATCACTTTATAATATTTCAATTGACCTGCTACTTTTATTGGATTTTTTAGTATTTTTTTTTAATAACTTTCATATCATATTAGTACATCCACCACACAGACACATCTTTCCTGCTCTATTTTTCGTCTATCTTGCTTCTAAAAAGTTAATTATTAATTTTTCTTGAACATGGTTTTCTTTTGTTTGTTGTAAAAAAAAAAAGAAAAAACAGAACAAAGAAAAAAAAAGAAAAAAAAAGGAGAGAAACTTTTGTATATTGAATGAGAGAATTGTCAACCTCATAGAGAGCCAACACACAAACCGACATTTCGTGTTAAAAAAGGGAAATTCCAAATGCAATACCTGCGAGTCTCGAGACTTTTTATTTGTCTTCTCCTTTTAACACTCCTCATCTTGACATTCTATCTTTCCCTCTGTTTTCTTTAATTTGCTTATTTTGAACCACTAACAGAGCAATGGGATTCCCAAAAAAATTTCAAAACTGAAAATAGTTTATATAGAAATTGGAAGAAAAGGTGGAACTGTTTTTTTCCCTTTTTTTCTAATTCTGTGTTTAAGGAAAAGAAATTATTAACGTGTTGGATTTGGTGAGATTATCTCTATAGCTCTTGGACATTTTTATTTTTATCTGAATTTTGATCAGTTTGAGTCATAGTGTTTATTAGTGCTACATATTTTGCACTTCTTTTGTGATCGAATGTGTGAAATTTTTTGTATGTTTGGCTTCTGTTTTCTTTTATATCTAATTTTTTGCCGGCCTTTCAGAGCCATTGTTTAGTTGTAGTCTATGATAAATGATGGGAAACATTACAGATTTGGGGGTTCTCATTACAAGCGATGGTCTTTTTAGTTGTTTACTCTGTTGTCACTAGCTGGATTTGGCTTTTTCTGGGTTTGAAATTGTTTTTATATTTTATATGCTTTGACAAATTCTGATTGAATTTGAACTCTAAACCTTAGTGTTGAAAGATTTTTGAACCTATATGGTAGCCATGTTTCCTAAATTTAAGATCCCCTTAACTATTAACAATTGCTCAACATATCAGATAAAAAAGGGAACTCATCTTGCCCAACTAATTGAAAAAGCCGATCTAATTGTTTGGGATGAAGCTCCAATCAATCATAAACATTGTTTTGAAGCATTCGACAAATTACTTTCTGATATTTTATCGCATTTGAACAATTCAAATGGAAATGCTCCATTTGGTGGCAAGCTTTTTTTGTTAGATGGTGATTTTAGACAAATATATTCCAGGAGGAACAAGAGAAGAAATAATAAATGCCTCCCTTAACAGTTCCTATTTATGGCCTTTTTAAAAAATATTCCATTTAAAAGAAAATATGAGGCTAGAAAAAACGGATTAAGTGTTGAAGAAAAACAAGAAATAAGTGATTTTGCAAATTGGATTTTGCGCATTGGTGATGGTCAAATTATTGATATAGATGATCCAAACGATAAAGATGCATCTTGGATTGAAATTCCTGAAGATTTACTCATTCATTCATACACACATCCTATTCATTCAATTTTTGCAGCAACATACCCAGATTTTGACAAAAATTTAAACAATTTTGCCTACTTAAGGGAACGAGCCATTGTGACACCAGAAACACAACTATAACAGAGATAAATAATTATGCAATTCATTTGGATTGTATCTTTCTCAACCTGTGTTCACCCATGGGCAACTTTATGTTGCGTTATCTAGATTTACATCAAGGCAAGGTCTTAAAATCATAATACACAATAATAAAGAAGTTCCTACCAAATACACTAAAAACATAGTGTACAAAAATGTTATTCAAAATTTACAATCAGGTTTCAACTTTTATCCATCCGTGATTAAACATTTCTATATTTTTTATATCAATTTTCATACATTGCTGTATACATTTTTATACTAACAAAATATATTTTTTATTTTCAGCTTTATGATACAATGAGTTTCGTTCACATCCGTGATTTACAGCCGTTTCAATTTAACAAGAAGATTAAAGTCCGTGTATGTAGAATTTGGAGACCAAAACTTATTGGATATGATGATCAATTCGGTGGTTTACAGTGTATATTGGTTGATCAAATGGTGAGAAAATCTCTTTATTATTCATGTTATTTCAGTTTAGTTATCACAGCTTCTTCACTTGCAAACAATTAAATTCAACTAGATTAAATTTTACTAATGTATTTTCTACTATGATTTTAAAGTTAACTAATATATTTCCTAAAACTGCTTTCAGTTTTAATTAATTATGAAAACTTCATTTGCAAAGAATTAAATCCAACTGGATTAAATTTTCCTCAAGCATTTACTACTATGATATTAGAGTCGCTGAATATATTTGGTAAAACCAGATTAAATTATGTTTCAAAATTACCTAATACTTTATTTCAGTTGAACAATTCTTATATAATCTTAACATTAATATTTACATCTTAATATAGGTCTTTTTCATTCATTTTTTCTATAAATGTTATAATCTAGGCCCTGCCAATGTCAATAATTTAGACCTGTATATATGTGTATGTATCACTTGATTACATAATAGCTTTTGTTAAACACCCTTATCCATTCCAAAAACCTAAATTGTTTTTAATTTTCTTCCGTTCCAAATTGGTTCTCATAGTTTACTTATCAAGCAATTTAGAAAGTGTCACCTTATAAACAGGGCCAAATCCTCCCTCTCCCAGTTTATTTGCTAGATTGAAGTTGTTTGTTGCAGCGAAAACTCTTTTTAAATTGAAGAGTGGTAGTTCTGCATCATTCTTCGCAGCTTCAGCTCTTTCTTTACTTATAGTCTCACTCATACAGCCTTCTGTGCTCCCTGTTTCATTCTTATTATTAGAGCATTGGTTGTTTGGAACACTAGAATATATGCGTTTGTGTGAGTGACAAAGAGAAAAAGAAAGATAAGGGTGGTAGCACTATACCTTCCATTCCCAAGTATTTCTTCCATATGAAGAATTTGTTGGCTGGGAGATTTTGTTGTCAAGAGACTTTCTTTCTTTTAGTGGTTTGATGTTCATTCGACAATTGAAGACTCTGAAAGCAAGCTAATATATAGAGTGACGGTATAAATAGATGGATCATGGATCTTGGTGCAATTCTCTATGGTTTTTTGGGTTATTTTTTATGCTGTTTTCATTCATGGGTTGGTTTTTATGTATTTTGTTTTTAGAAGTTGGACTTTTTGAAATTTGATATTGATATGGGAATTGAAAGCTTTCAATTCAGAATAATGCTTTTCAGTGTGTGTTAATGAAATTGTTCTCTGGCTTTTCCTTATCTGAAGAATGCCAATTTTCCATGGAAACAAAGGAGATTAGGATATTATATAGAAACAAAAGAAATTGTTGTGTTATGTATTGCAATACAGTTAGTGAAAAAACTTTTTTTTAATAAATGTTTTTTTTTTTTTTTTCAATTCTATGCTCTGTTCCTCTATGTTACTGAAAATAATAGAGTATGATTTATTTATTTGTAATTATGCAAATATATAGTTTCCTTCTTTATTTTTTGTTGGGTAAACAAAATATGTTATAGAAATGTACTTTGTGATTAAAAATTTTGGGGTCCAAACAAGGAATTGATTTTTCATGAGCTTGATTGACAAGAAGTAAATATTTCCACCTTGAATTTTTATGGATGACTATATTTTAGGGGTTCACAGCTCTTTGGATTTGTTTTCCAGGATTTTTCTTCTCAGTTTGTGATTAAAAAGATGAATATCATGTTGTTAGTGTTGTAGTGGTAGAAGTCACTCTAGATTAACATTGCCTTTTGTCTAATATTTCAAGAATGTATAAAGTTCTTTTTGAGTAGAGGAGTCCAAGGTTTACGAAAAGAAGACAAAAAAGTAGAAGTGGGAAAATAAAAGAGGAATGTAGTGAGCAAAATCTACAAGGCTAAGAAAGGTTAAAAATGAAATTTAAAAATATAAAAAAATCTTGATTGTTTAAGGGAACTTTTGCATAGATAACTTTTGATCGTATACTCTTTGTTTCAAATGCATCTACGATCATTTAAACAGCCCTCTTCCTGTGCATGCGAGTCTCAAGACTTTATTTCTCTTCTTTTAACACTTTTTTCTTGATGATATTAACTTGGTTCGTTAAGTTTTCATATTTAATGACTATAATGCATGGAAATCAATCATACTTCTAATATTTCATTTTTAAATTCACTGTTGTTTCAAAGTTGCTTCGTTTAAATGCTTAAAGATCGATGCTTCTTCTAATATTTTGTTTTCAACTAGGTTGTTTACAAATATAATTTGTTTCGTACTAAATTTTTTTCCCTTCTTTTTTCAAACATGTAGACAGATGCGATTCAAGCCACTGTGAAAGAGATTGACTAGGATTTAATTGGTGCAAAGATAAAAGCTGGTTGTATTTATGAGATCACACATTTTCACTCCGGCCGTAGCAAAACATCACACAAAGTTGTTCCGCATGCTGCCCATTTGTTCTTCAATACAAGAACTGTGTTCACCGAACTGTCAAGTGTTTATACCCAAATTCCACGACATCGATTTTATTTTCTTGATTATGGTCAGTTGTGCACTCGCATAGACAAAAATGAAATCTTGACAGGTAATACTCTACATATTCTCCAAAAATATGCATTTATGTATAATATATATTTATCAACAATTTTTATGCATTTCTATAAACTTATCATACTACTTTGTCAAATTGCAGATGTTTTGGGACACATTACTGCTGTACAACCTTTAGAAGAAAAAATGGTGGGCAATGGACGGTTGGAAACCAAATGTGAAATTTACATTCAAAATATCAGGTACATGTGTTAACAAAATGTGTGCACATTTTCAAACCATTATATCTCTTGGTAATTTATTTTTTCATGTTTGATCATCCAGGAAAGAAGATGTTAGAATAACGCTATGGGGAGACACTGCACGAGCGTTTGATTTCCAAGCTTTGGAAGAGTTGGCACCACCAATAATCACTGTTTTTACAAGTCTTAAAGTCAAACAATTCCAAGGTATTCAGCTTAATTTTCCTTTCTTTCCATTATTCAAACTTCATCTCAAATAAAAAAAATCTTATTTATAGTTTACAAATGTGTAGGAAAAGCCGTCCTAAATAGTAGCGTGTCAACAATGATTTTCATCGATCCGGATATACAAGAATTAGATACATACAAAATGACGTATGATTTCTTATCCTCTTTATGCTAACATACATCTTTCTTCCTCCTTTATCCGAAACTAATCACCTCATTTTTATATAAAAAAACAACAAAAAAAACCAACACAGCTTTGGCGCTTTTGTAGATGCTATTAAAATGGTCCCTCCTTCTTCGATTCAACCGATCAAGCCTGAGGAATTAGAAAATGCTAAAAAAGCTATCTGTACAAGAGTTGAATGTTCTTGATCCGGATTTATGCAAGGTAAAAAGCCAATTTCCTCCCTTTATCTCCCTATTATTCTTAATTTAACATACTACATTATAAATTATTTAAACTAGAATTTATTTCGATTTTCTCTTATTGTTTTATGTTTTATAATTATTATCATTTTATTAACAAGTCTGTTTAAACATGTTCTAGGATGCTTTTATTTTATGTAGAGCAGCCATTACGCGTTTTAATACGCGTAGTGGATGGTGGTATAAGGCATGCCCATCCTGCTTCAAACAACTTAGATCCATTGCCCACAATGATGAACTTCTGTGTCCTAAACACAACAATCAAATTCCTCTCCCTTGGTAATACAAATATTAGCAATTAGTTTCATCTTATTTTTTCATAAACTTCAAACACAAATATCTTAGATTATTAAAACATTACATGATTTTTACATACAGGTTTAAAGTTGGTTTGGTTCTTGAGGATTCAACTGATGAAACAAATGCTATGATCATTGGAAAAGCAGCAGAGCAATTGTTTGGAATTTCTTGCAATGAATTGGTTATTCAACAAGGTTATACTGACCAGCAAGAGTTTCCACATGCAATTCTACAGACAAGAGGCCAATTTAAAAATTTTCAACTTCGGTTTGGCAGCATAAAAACTGATTCAAACAGAAATGATTTGCTTATTCAAGCTGTGTTTGATGAGAAGGTACAACTTCTTGAATCAGGATCAGAAGCCAACTTTGTTGAACATCAGAAAAAAAAATATTGCTGCCCAAATGCTTCCGCCCACTCCCCCACTTCTTTCAAAGAAAACACCGCCTGTATCTCTCGCTGTCTCATCCAATCCTTCTTCAGTGGAGCCCATTTCAAATTCGAAAAAGAAACGTAAACTTCCAGTGAAAAGAGCTCTTCTCACCTCTTTAACAAGTGAAAAACTGAAAAGGTTAGAGTTTACATAACAATTAACTCATTCGTATTAATATTTTTATATAAACATTTACTAATACTTTTCTTTACACTCTGTTTTACATCTTTCTAAGTGATGTTGAAGCTGAAAACAAATCTGAGAAAACTGTTGCTGTGCAAACCAGAGAAGAAAACGTGTCAGCTTCTGACAATTTACCAATTATCGATTTGAAGAAGAAAACAGTCCAAGGCAGTTCCGAAACCACCTCTCCTACTCCCACATCAGAGTTTGTGCTCTTTCCGTTTCAATTCATTCATCTCACTGATACACACATTACACACAAAGTATTTCATTGTTATTTCTTATGTTTACTTATTAAACTTAATTCTATCATAATAATTAATACTTGCCAATTTTTGACTTTATGCCAACAGAGCTAAAACCTCTAAAAAGGAGAAAAAAGGGCATTAGTCAGCCAAACAACAAATGCAGCAACAACAAAAGCCCTTTAGCAAAAGAATCAAAGAAGAAAAATCCATGTCCACTACTCATTAAAATATAGATAAACGCATGTACAAGTTTTTTTGAACAATATGCAACTTAAGGCTGCTCATATTTTGATGTTTTAATAGCTGCTTGATATATTAAAATATGCACAATATTTTAACATAACAAGCAGCATATAAAACATGATGTTAGTTTATGTTTTACAACATAAGCTTGCCCAAATTGCACTGTTTGCATCTGAATGTATATATAAATAGCCTAAACTCATGATAGCACTGTTTGCATCCACTAAACTTTTTATTAGATTAATAACTTGCTGATCGATTTCTGAACATACTGTTGAATCCTTTCATTCTTTGCCCAAATTGATTCTGTAATGATTTTGCTGCTATAATAGGTTGTTAATTTGTTGTTGTAATGATAGGTTTAGATGATTACAATATTTGAGCATGTTAGTGAATCCTTTTAAGTATTTTGGTAATTAGATACTTGACAACTCCCAATGTGGGGAGAGAGTGACAATGTGTAATTGATTGAAGGGAAAAAGATAATCTCTTTCTCTGTGTGTACTACCATTGTTTCATATTGCACAACAGCTATTTGATGAATGAGTATATATATCTCTGTAAGTCATCTAACAGAGTTTGATCTATATTTTCTGCTCATAGAATGTACTTCTATATAGTTGTGCTATTTTCGGTGTGTGTCCATTTTGCTTTATTAGGCTATAGATGTAATTAAGAAATAACAGTTTAATTCATGAATGTTTTTTTCCCTTCCCAACTATTGATCTGTTGGTCAAAATTTGACTCTGATTTTTTGCTTTGGGTTTTGATGACGGCTGATATTCTGTTTTCTTCTATCTCTATTTGTTTTTGTTTTCCAAGATTTTTCTTTTGTTTTAGAAGTGGACTAATGAAGTTCAGGCATCTCATATAAAAACACTGCAAAGAAAAACATATTTGGACAGTTTTGGGAATAGAAAATCAGAAATTGCAAGTTTTTCAATTTTTTCTTGCTTTTTGTCTTCATTCTATGTTTTGTAGGTGTTGAGTGAGGTAATTTTGCAACAAACTGATTTCTGCATCTATAAAGTTTGTACACCATGTTGTGTTACAATTTCTTAAACATTCTGCCTAATTTTTCAAAAAAATTTGTCCCAATTCGACACTCTGCTCGAAGTGCAACCTGTGACCAAAAAACCATTGTAACAATTGACAAATTATTAAATTCCCCTTTTGATTTTTCTAATATTATGAAACTGTTTCCATCCTTTTTGAAGGATAAATGATTTTGTAATGATATTTGCTTATACTTTCGGAAGAGAGACTTTTGTCGACTGGAATATGTTAATTCCTAGATTTTGAGAAATCTTTAGTAAAACTTAATGATTGCAGTTAATTATATCCCTTATTTAATTTGTTGTTGTGCATTTTCAGTTTCCCCAAAATTTGATCAATATTTTAAGATGACAAGCAACATATAGAACATGTTATTAGTCTTTATTTCGTAACTTAAACCCGCAACATCGTGCGGGCACTTTTGCTAGTATGTACTATGTAGGAAAAAAAAAAGTGGGGTTTGTATGTTAATGTAAAATAAACTTTCGTACTGATTCACATGATTAGTAGGAATTTTTCAATCAAAACTGCATTAGAATCTTCCAAGAATACTTACAAGAAACAGAGTTGACCAGAAGAGTTTTGAATGGTGCATTCAAATCGAATTCTTAAGGCACTAGTGTGGTATATATGTAAAAGTCTTTGTGTGTTTGGTCTTATAGTTGCAATGTTTGTATTAATTTTCTCAACCATCTTGAAAAATTTGTTTATTGTTGTGTCAGTGACTATCATTTCACTATCATCCATTACGATTGACAACAACAAACACATCAGCGGAAAATGGAAGGAAGCGATCAAACTCCACATGATATTGAAAACCCTTGGATTCCATTAGTAACTTCAATGAGTGAGGAGTTGGATGGCTTGTCTCCCCTCTCCTCTTTGTGTTGCATTTATAGAGTTCCTGAACGACTACGGCGTGTGAGTGAAAAGGCCTACACACCTCAGGTAGTCTCTATAGGCCCACTTCATCATGGCGAGGAAGGCCTAAAAGCCATGGAAGATCACAAAAAGAGGTACTTGCAAGATTATATACGTCGGACCAAGAAGCAAGTAAAAGACCAAGAAGCAAAACTGCGCAGTTGTTATGCAGAAACCATTCAGGTTAGCAGTGATGAATTTGTGAGAATCATTCTAGTGGATGCCGCCTTCATCATTGAGGTCTTGTTGAGGTATCGTGTCGATGAATTGCAGGATGAAAATGACCGTATATTTAACAAACCATGGATGTTGCAGGACGTATGGCCTGACATGCGGTTTTTTGAAAATCAGTTGCCATTCTTCATTCTTGAGGAACTTTTTGACCCCGAAAAAATCAAAGTCTCTTCTAACAATAACAATATTGAGATGCTTTCGATACTCAACCTTTGCCACAATTTCTTCAAAACTCTAATGCATATAGAGGGAACAGATGGCAATATGGAGAAATTATGTGCTTCTAAAGTAGAACACTTTGTAGATTTTTGTAGAAATTTGTATCCACCTCTGCCATTGAAACCACCTGCTAAAGGGCCAATTGAAACTCTAAGGTGGAATCACCGAAAAACTTATTCGGCATATAATTCGCTAATGGGATTCTAGAAATTCCAAAATTAGCAATAAGTGATGAGACAGCTTACAATCAGAAACCTCCTTGCCTTTGAACAATGCCATTGCATGGAGAATTATTTTAAGACATCCTTTGTCAAGGGAGGTTTTGTGCAAAAACTATTTTATACACATGAAAAATTATTTTATACCCCAAGTGAAGCCCCTATTTTATACTCATGAAAAACAATTTTTGTTATTCAAAAAAAAGCAATGCATATTCGAAATATAAGTGAAAAAAAGTGTATTGTCTATGATTTTGTTTTTGTATTTTAGGTGCGTGCAATTGGATCTAAAATTGACACATAACTATGATACACTTAGAAGACATATAATTATGCTTATGAAATATGCTAGCGTCAGTCGCATGTGGGCATGTGTCACCCTATTACCATACTGTATGTCCTGGACAGTAGATGACTGAACCTTTGCCTCCGACCCAAATATGCATATATTTTCCTACCTTTCTTGAGCTTTATAAGCGTCCAACTCCATTCATAGTTGATTTCGAACCAAAAAAAAGAAAAGAATTCATAATTGAATTATTTTTCCAACTATATGCACGAGGACCTATAGCCTTTTCGAGTGTATAATTAATTAGCATGAAGAAAAAGATAGAATTCTTTTCTTGCAGACCCATACATAAATGTAGATTCGATACATTTACAGAGTCCACCCGTAGAATCTCTTCATAGCCACCAAAAGATTGCAAAAAGTTCACAATATTTTTAAACGTCTGATAATATAAATATCCAAAAATTATAGTTTTGACTGTGCTTAGTTACAAGCTCACGCTACTAGGTTCGGTCAAAACTAAGCAGGGTATTTAAGTGATTGGTTGCAATGGAAACCTTCTCAGATGAGGCATTAGTGGTCTTCAGCTCTTCACCTTGGCATTGGTGGGTGAAGTCGCACAAAGCACATCCCCTACCCTCGGGTTAGTAGAGTCTCCTGACCACAAAGGTTGGGTAGCGCAAGCAAACCAGAAAAATTATAGTTTTGGGAGCTTCTAATTTTATTTTATTTTTTACACTAAACAAACACAGTTGATTTAAGTAGAAATCAATTTAGTCCTTTAGCCAAGCTTGATGGTAAAGTGGGGCAAATCACACAATCCATATCCACCCCTTGGAATCTCCATAACCCCCAAAAAAGTTTAAAAAAAAAAATCACAAATAATTTGAAATGTTTGATAATGAATGTACACAAATTATAGCTCCGGGATGGGAGCTTCTAATTTTATTTTATTTTTTACACTAAACAAACACAGTTGATTTAAGTAGAAATCAATTTAGTCCTTTAGCCAAGCTTGATGGTGAAGAACTGATCAACTAATATTTCTTTTGCAGGTTCTGAAAGAAAAAGTAAAGAGGAAAAATAAAACATTGCTTTTCTTCTTTTATTATTATTCGAACCAATTAAACTGGGGCTGCTCATAAGCGCTTCTATCATAAAAATGTTGAAATCTTCATAAGAAATCCAAGTGCTTCCTGGTAAAGCAATTGGGAGTGCTAGCTTATTTAGAAAGCGCTTCTAAACTTTTAAGTCAAAAGCTGTCATAAGCGCTTTTGGTTGTTAAAAAAACGCTTTTAGTTATTCTGGAAGCATTCCCAAACAAGCCCTTGGTTATCTATGGACTTCTCCTTTTTATATCCTTTATCCCAAGGGTATAAAAAGGAGTGAGCTAGGAACCCACTAATTAATACAACATGCCAAGCCTTAGAAAGGTAAAGCCAGGGTAAGCATAACATGAACAGTGAAAACCAGGTTGCCCTACATATGGATGTCATTGCAGCTGTTGTTCTTCTCATATTCACTATCATGCTAACTGTCTGCTCTGTTGTCTCTGTTACTTAACTTAATGTTAAAGTATTTTAGAGATCGATTGAACCAATGTTGTGCCTATTGTTTTCTTATAGTTCGTTTGTGTGAGTGGTGGTGATATTCAAATTATTTGTTTGATGTAGGACCAAATATATAATTTTTAACAAATGTATCAGGGGTAACTCCCTTGGCACTGAGAGTTTGAATCGCTCATTTATATACAAACAGAAGAACCTCCACTTCCCTAGTTTATTTCTTTTGGCTCTGTGGAGCATACTTCAAAGTAATTTTCATAGGCACAAGCAATCACTCTTTTTTTTTTCTTTTTTTTTTTTCGATAAGACTAGTCTAGAGCATTATCAAATACGTTTAGGCCATTACCAAACGTATAGCTACTGTCCCCTTTTGATTTTTTACTTTTTCAGAGTTATTACCTGTATAAAGAATTTAGCATTTTCCCATTTAATAGCCAGAGATTGAAGATTTCTTACCAGAGAAGCTGATGGTCTCAAAAGTTGATTTCAGAAAGGATCTCACTAGCCTCAAGGTCGGTTCTCAAAATCGAAACTTCTGCAACACATAGTAGGAAGTTAGGGCATCAAGTTTTTTTGGAATCACACCTCAGAATCGAAATTCAAAGAGAAATCAAAACTAACAGATCCCATTTTGACTTATATCTCCATTTTGATTGATGCCAAAAGAATGTTTCAATGAACTAGATCTAATTTCCTACATAAACAATGAAAACAAAATCCCGAACCATATAGTCATCAAAGCAACTAGAACCCTTTTCTTATCTTCTATATTCAAATCTAAAAACAGCCTGTAATAAGAATAAAGTTTTCTTATCCAACAAAAACATTATTGAATTTCTGAAAGCATACAAGAGTAATGCAATAATATTTTCATCAAGTAAACCCAAAACACAAAATATACCCAAAATCAAAATGAATAGAGAATAGAGAATTAGAATCACAGTCACAATCGCACTCAAATCAAACCCAAATGAAATCAAAACTTACATTGAAACCAAAGAGAAATAGAAAGCTCACATGATATTAGGAGAAAACCTAGAAATCGAAACCACAGAGACGAAAAGGACGACAAAGAGGACGCTCGCTCGTGCTAGTCCCTCGCTCTTGTCTCGCTCGCACTGGTCTCGTTCGGATTTTGCTCGTCTTGTTTAGTCTTTTTTGTTTTCCTTTTGATGCGGTACCCGAGTGCGTTTTGAAAAATAAAAATAAAAAGTTTAAAAAAAGTTAATTGGTCACTGATGTATTAAATGAGAGAAGTAAGGCCATCTTGGCATATGTGTTCATCACTAACTATATAATTTAAGTTGTTTTCAGTGACTAATTTAAATAATGGTATGAAAATTTGGTCATTAAAAATTAAAAAATAGGGGTCAATTATTTTAGTGATCATGTAGTATTATTAGTCATTAAGGGCTCGTTTGGTACACCGTATTAGACTCTGGATAGAAGTAAATAGTCTATGTCAGGTGTTTGGTGTCAACTTGTATTATTTAATTACCCGACTATTTTATATGGGTTGGGCTTTTAATACTCTCCTGACTTGACTAATTAATACAACCCACACTCCCCGGTTTAGATAATACACGCTTAATTATACGGCTAAGCACGCGTTCTACAAAAAAAATCTGACGTTCTTTTCATCTTCTTCTCCCTAGGGTTCTTCTCTGCTATCTTCTCCACAGGTTATTTTCTTCACGCTTCTCTAGATATCCATCTCTCACTCTTTCTCTCTTTCATACTCTCTCCAATATGTTTCTTCTTGCTTCTTCTCTATTCTTTATATATTTCGATTTTTTTATTAAATTTTTGTAGAAATTAGATTATGTATTTTTCGTTTTTGAAATTAGGTTATGCTTACTTACATGCATGAAAGCTAAATCGTAAAAGTGATCAAATTCCATTGATGTCAGAGACATCAATGCTTTATCTTTTTGTGAATAGGCACTTGGAAAGTGATCAAATTCTATTGATATTTTTTCCCAAAGAAAGATTGTGCCATACTTTATTATTAGATTGTGGTTCTTGCATATCATGATTTGGTGCATGATGTGGTTCATGACAAACTACAATTTGGAACAACGACGCCAACAACGGAATGCCATTAGGAGTCAAAGATTTTTCAAGATTGCAACTCGGTCAAATTATTTAGATAGCATTATAGGAATTGATGACATACAATGTGTGAACCAAATTAGGATGGATAGGAGCACTTTCCATTATTTATGTCAATTGGTTCGTGATGATGGGAGAGTGAGAACAAATGGTTCAGTAACCATAGAAGAGCAAGTGTCTATATTTTTACATACACTCGCACATCAAGTGAATAATCGTACAATGAGTAGTAGATTTAAGCGATCGGGGGAGACTATTAGTAGGTACTTCAATTCAATCTTGGATGGAGTGATAAGATTACAAGGTAGACTTTTGAAGGTGCCGGAACCCATACCTGATAATTGCACCGATAATAGATGGAGATGGTTTAAGGTACTGTAAAATTAAATTAAGATTGACCAATTTTATTATTATATTTATATTTTAAGTTTCTAAGGTACCTTTTTTTTTTTAATTGCGTAGAAATGCTTGGGGGCGTTGGATGGGACTTACATTAGGGTTCGTGTCCCTGAACAAGATAAACCAAGATATCGAACACGAAAGGGGGAGGTTGCAACCAACGTATTAGGAGTTTGTACTCCTGACATGAAATTTATATTTGTTTTCCCTGGTTGGGAAGGATCTGCTTCAGATTCTAGGGTGTTACGAGATGCAATTAGTAGACCAACAGGATTAAGAGTTCCTACAGGTAATATTAGATTTTTGTGTTTCATTATGGTAATATTAAGCTTGATTATCTTTTTGGTAAGGTACATAATATTTGTTTAATTGTTAGGATGTTATTATCTTGTGGATGGTGGGTACACAAATGGTCAAGGATATCTGGCTCCTTATAGGGGTACAAGATATCATTTATCTGAATGGAGGAAGAAGCATTGTTAACCATACTTGAGGACGTAGTCAACCGAGGTTTACAATGTGATAATGGTTCCTTTAAATCTGGAACAATGATCCAAATTGAAAAATCATTGGCTGAGAAATTTCCCAATACTGATTTAAGGGTAGTCCCACATATTGAGTCCAAGATGAGGTTTTGGAAAAAATTGTATGGGATAATATTTGACATGATTAACAAAAGTGGTTTTGCTTGGAATGATTCTTTGAAATGCATTGAGGTTGACAGCTATGAAGCATGGAACACTTATGTGCAGGTTAGTACACTTGTTAAGTAATATGAAATTCTTATATTTTTTTATGCTTATATTTTTATTTATAATTTTCCCATTTTGATGCAGCATAACAAGGATGCTGATGGTTGGAGGGGGAAACAATGTCTAATATATGATAGGTTGAAAAATATATTTGGGAAGGACCGAGCAACTGGTAGAGGGTCTGCAACTCCCACTATTTTTCCCAAGATAAGCTTCTGCATCCTCTTTTCTTTTTATTGACTCATTTACTCTTCACCATGATCAAATCATTCTGCCTCTTTACCAAGATCAAATCAACAAAACTCAGCTAGCTCAAGCAGTCGACACTGCAAACGAAATGCAGATACTGATATTCAAAAGGAAATGGCTAAAGCATTTGGTGAGATGATTTCTAAGTCTGGTGATCAATTGAAAACTATAACTAATAGTTTGGTGAAAGGATCAAAACCAAGACCTGACATTGCTGCTGAATTGGCAAAGATGGACTTATCTATTAATGACCAAATTAAGGCACTACGACTAATTTTGAAGAAAGCAAGTGATGAGAGAACATTCCTAACATTGGATGGTGCTATGCGAAAAGCATTTGTTCTTCTCTTACTTGGGGCGAAGGAGCTGTGATTCACTCTTTGATGTAGTTTGGTTTATGAACAACTTTCCCTTTTGCTTTTATCACCTTAGTATGTGATCACTTTGAATTATACATTATTTGGTACTATTTTTATTAACGTATGCGAGTATGTTGGAATTTTTATGAGATACTACAATTATGATAATGGGTTATATGAAAAAAAAATATTGAAAAACAAATCTTGTCATATGAATCTTACCAAAAAAAATTTGTGCCATTTAAATCTCAATTTCCATTAAAATTATCAAAGAATTTTTTTTATTTTAAAAATAGTTTGATCTGATGTTATCCGCAACATCACCAAACACAGTATAACTTAGTCAGACTATTTATCCGGAACAACACCAAACGCCTTATAATATTATGGATAAATAGTCAGTACTCTCCGGAACAGATTAATACTATCCGACGGAAATTAGTCAGTACAGTCCGACGTACCAAACAAGCCCTAAATTCACTGTATTTGTGACAATTATTTATGTAGTCACAAGGAAATTGGTTACTACTGACCTTTTTTCTTGTAGTGTAGAATACCCAATTTTAAATTTAAATTATAATTAAAGATATATAGCAAAGGAGATAATGGGAATAATACTTCTTGTTGACAAAAGGAGAGGAGAAGATGTTGCCAAGTTGCCCACCCAAGATAATAAAAGATTTAGTCAATAGAGGGAGAATTTGACCCCAAAAAAAGAGAGGGAGAAACTTGCTGCTATGTGGTAGCAAAGAGAGAAAGAGAAACAATAAGTCTAATAGCCAAAAGAGAAGGGAAGAGAAGATATGGGACCACCTGAATGAATAACATATGTGTAGAATTTACTTTTAATTTTTTTTAAATTTTAGGATGGGCTTATAACATATGTAGATTTTTATTTTTATTTTAAAAAAATTTGGGCTGGGCAGGCACTTAGCCTGCCCTGTGCTAGCACCGCTCATGGGAGCAGTAATCTTTATTTTATAATATATATGATAATAGATTGATTTTTATTTTATTTTTTCAATCCTATTATATATATTAAAATTCGAAAGCCTCCTGGCCTACGCATATTGGTCGGTGTAGGTGGTGGCTGAGGTGATGATAAGTATTGCGCAGCCTCCCCATCCTTGTTAGACTACGGAAGCTTGCAGACTTCAGTTTGTCGTGGATTGCTGTTAACTTCTGCATTACTCCATTTTCTGTCTTCTTCATTGTCTCCCAATTGTGGCTGTGGATAATATGGTTTTCATCTTGAAAGAAACCCAAATAAAGAATCTTCAAAAATCTTCACTACGACTTAACATCTGCTGTCCACGTCACTGTTGTTTTACCAGAGTTATAAGCCATCATCACTACCTTTTTTTTTGTTCGTCTTCAAAACAACAAGAAGAACAAATCCATTAATTTGTACTTGATTAATATTAATAATAAAAAATCACAAATGAATTGAAATGTTTGATAATAATGTTTACCTAACTTGAGGGAGAATCATGGAATAAATATAGTAAGTAACAAGTGAAGTGATCAAACACTAACACATGTATGTAAAAATTTCTATCAAGTGTCAAATTGCCATTTAAATCAACAAATCCAAATTTAACGTTTTACAGTAGAGCTTATTTTTGTCGGGAAGAAATGTAGTCTTCAGAAAAGAGTAGAAAAAAATGTTTTGTAAACTCACATGAGTAATCTTTATTAGTGAGTGGAGGAGAGACGTAAAGCAAAAATGATGAAAACTTCCAATTTCTACTAAAATTATAATGAATCTCAGCCCCAGAAATTAATTTTAGTAGAAATTGGTACACATAGGAAGTTTGTAAAGTACAACACTTTGTAGATTTTTGTAGAAATTATGTGCTTCAGAAATCTTGGGCTTCTATTAAATATTTCAATTTATGCCCAGTTTGGTGAGAAGTCCAAGTTCGGCACCTTGGGCTTAACTTAAGATTTTTTTTATTTTTTATTTTTTCCTGATAAACTTAAGAATCAACCGTCTAGGCTTGAGACAAGTTCTGTTGAACTTAAGCCCAAACTAATATAAAGTCGGAAAATTTTGGTATTTTCCGATACTTGCCAAAACTGAAACAACTTTTTCGGTTTTGAATTTTCCCATTTTCTAATCTTAAAAATCAATTACTAAAATTTTAAAAGAAATTAGGTGGGTAAATACCAAATGGCATGCCTATTCGAGTGCCCTCCTTTTTTTATAGTTCAAGATTACTTTGCCAAAGGATCAAATCACTTTTAAAATTACGTCGCATGAGTAAAATTTAGGTAGATGATAAGTTCACGAAAAGTCCCTTAATAGAAACCAGGCTGCAGAAGTTGACTGATAGCTCTTGGCATTTGTGTGCTTGGCAGGAAAGAGTTCCAGTAAAGTTGAGGTACTGGGAGAGCAGCATGGCTTGCCAGAGCCACCATTGTCAATTTGAACTCTCATTACTATGTATGAGATCACAAATTGAAATGAATTATTAAATTAAAAGATAAGTACTTAGCGCATTTTTCTGTTTAATACTCGTATTATACACGTACATATATATTTTTCAATAATACTTCCATTTTCCATATACGGTTAAAGACTCGGTAAAATACAAAGTTTGTTAAAAAGTAATGTACAATACACGTTTTATACATATACGTACATATTTTTCACATTTAATAATGTTTTTTTTTAAACAAACTTTTGAATAATACATACAAAATTCATATATTATACACCTATTTTTCACATATTATTGAATAAAAATAATGTATATTAAAAAAATTAAAAAAATTATATAGTGGCCAAACTTTTCAGATGTATCTTGTCAAAATTTTGCTGAATAAAACATGTGCATATTTTATTCGTACTTTTTCCGTTCCATATTTTACTAACAGTGAGATATTGGAAATATTAATTATGAAAGTGCAAAGCTTACATTGAGAAATCCCCCTCTCCTCTAATCTTGTGCTTCAAAAAAAGCTTACACTGAGAAGAGCAAAGATGAGTGGTAGATGGAAACCCGTTAAGACTGAAATACTTATGCTACAGAAAGGTGGTGAATATGAAGGAAAAAAGATAACTAATATGTATAAGATCATGTTTTTTTTTTTTAAAATGTAAATAACAAATTAAGTCATCAAACACTGACAAAGAAAGTAAAACCACTTTAGTTCATCAAATCCAAATTTTGATCTGTATTAGTGATCGGAGGAGAGACTTGAATTTTAAATCAACTTTTTTTTTTTTTTTGGGGTCAAGGAATTTTAAATCAACTTGTTCTTACAATTACCTCATCATTGTGGTATTATTAAGAGAAAATTTCTGTTACATCTACGGCCGGAGAAAGCAATCTGCAAGTGAGCAGATGCGAATTCCTTTCCTTCTGTTTTTCTACTTTTTATTCTTTTCATTTTATAATATTTCTTCTGGATTAATGTATTGTTCTATAAATTGCTATATATATTGTTCTATAAATTCCTTTCCTTGTGTTTCATGGTATGTTTTGATTTGGTATTTGCTTTGTAATCTAAATTTCAAGAACTAAATTGACACACTGGTCAAAGTTGAGGGGGTTCTTTGTATTTTATAGTGAGATTGATCTTGCTTCCGTTGTAGAATTTCTAATTGTGTTTGCATATGCTATATGAGCATGCAAACTTAAATACTATTTAGGGAGGCACTTGTATGCTTTACATGATGGATTAGATTAGTACTGGAATTTGATGCTTTAAATGATGTGATAAAGGAAGTTTGCTTTGGTGTTACAGACAGAGCATGGAAAATATGTTGTTTTGCGTCTTGGTATGTTTCTGGATACATTAATTCTTTATAGTTTGAGGACTATGATAAAAATGAAGGCTTCTCTAAATATGTTGTTTTCCAACGTAACAATTCAACACTCAAACATTGGGGAGAACGAAATTAAGTAGAACCACAACAGCATGCTTTATTATGAGTACAAGTTGAAGTCTATATAGTTACAAGAGAAAACATGATCGGGTTAATTTCAAGCAGTTTCTATAATCTGTGTTTTTCAGGCAACCCGACCACTAATCCCAAAAACTTCATCTCATCATATATCTTACACCACATGATGAAGAGGCAGAAATAAGTAGGGA